TTCTTGTCTTGCCTTCTGGTGCTTTAGAGACTCTTCTTTGTGGCAACCGCTGAGATATAAGAACACTGCTATCATGTCTCCCCTAGTCCTTCTTTTCATTAAACTAGATATACCCAATTTCTGTTACCGTTCTTTATATGTTTTAGCCTCCAGTTCCCTAATCATCCTTGTTGCTCTTCTCTGCACTCTTTCTTAACATCTTTTTTACATTGTGGCAACCAAAACTGATGCAGTGTTCCAAGTGTAGCCTTATCAAGGCCTTATAAAGTGGTATTCATACTTCACGTGATCTTGATTCTCTCCCTCTATTTATGCAGCCTAGGGTTGTATTGGCTTTTTTTGATGGCTGCAGCACACTGCTGGGCCATATTTAAGTGGTGCTCCAGAAGGACTCCAAGATCCCTCTTGCAGTTACCACTATTACTACTATTGACTGAGGTACCACATACAGTGTACCTGTGCATTTTGTTTTTTCTGCCTAAATGTAGAACCTTACTTTTTTCACCATTGAATTTCATGTTGTTAGATAGCATCCAATATTCAAATTTGTCACGATCCTTCTGTATCTTAAGCCTGTCTGCTGAAGTGTTGGCTATTCCTGCTATCTTGGTGTCATCTGCAAATCTGATGAGTTCCCCACCTATCCCTTGATCCAAATTATTGATGAAGATGTCTTCCTAAAACAGAGCCTTGGGGTACTCCACTGCATACTTCTCTCCATGTAGATGCAGTTCCATTGAGGACTACATGCTGAGTGCGGTTGGTCAAGCAGTTACGAATCCATCTGGTAGTGATGCTGTCTAACCCACATTTTTCTATCTTATCAAATAGTAGATTATGGTCTACTTTATCAAATGCCTTATGCACTCACAAACTCGCTTCAGCTAACTCGCTGCAGCCAACTCACCATGGACAATTCACTGTGGGACATCCACATGGGATAATTCCACATGATAAATGTTATCCCCCACTGTTTCTTCTACATTATTTTCATTTTTGACAATGAAAATATTGTCAAAGAAACAGTGGCAGATAATATTTATTGTGTTGAGCTATCCAGCATGGAATTGTCCCATGGCGAGTTATCCTATGGCAAGTTGGAAATAGCAAGCTGCCCCACAGGAAGTTGGATGCAGCAAGATAACACCAACAAGTTGGCTGTGGCGAGTTGTCCCATTCCAGATTAAGGGACTAGTTGCTAAAACAAAGAACAAACAGTTGCAGGAACTGAGTATGTCTAATTTAACTAAGAGAAGGACCAGCAGGGCGATAGGATATCAGTGTTCCAATATTTCAGGGGTTACCACAAAGAAGAGGGAGGAGGGTCAACCTATTTTGCAAAGCACCAGAAGGCAAGATAAGCAATGGATGGAAACTAATCAAGGTGAGAACTAATCTAGAATTGAACAGGAATTTACTGACAGTGAGCACAATCAATTGGTGGAAAGGCTTGCCTTCAGAAGTTGTGGGTGTGCCATCAACGGAGGTTTTCAAGAAAAGATTAGACAGCAATTTCTCCAGAATGGTACAGGGTTTTCTGGTCAAGCAGGGGGTTGGACTAGAAGACTTCCAACATTCCTTCTAACTGTTATTCTCTTATTAAGCAAGTTCCACAACAGTTAAGCAAATTCATTGTCAGGAACGGGAATTTTTTGCCAGTTCCATGGAAAGTCATGGAAAATGGGGCCCAGTATGATCATGTGGTCATGGGGGGAGGGGCAACTATCCAAACTTTGAATCCAGGTTGTAAGTAGCAAGTGGTGGGATTCAAATAATTTAGCAACTGGTTCTCTGCCCAAATGACAATAATGCAAGAGACTCCTATCCCAAAGGTGATTTTTCAAGAGGCAACTGGACTCTCTGGAAACCAAGAAAGTCCAGTTGCCTCTTGAAAAAAGGACCTTTGGGATAACATGACCTGGATGACTGAAGAATCCTCATAGACAAGAGATTCTTGTGCTCAGTGAGCTGACAAAGCATCCAGGAAACAATCCTTAGATCCATTTGCACTACTTAAAGATACCAGCTGGTCTCACTGACCTCACAAAATATCCTAAGGAAATCATCCAAATTTAAGGAAAGATCACATGCCCCTAGAAAGGCAGTAAAAAAATCAGTGCCAAGCTTGCATCCTGCCTCTTGGAAGTACACCCCAAATGGATGGTGCCAGGAACAA